AGAAAACAACATAATTAACATAATTGGCTAGGCAGAAAGTTGATGAAGCCAGAGAGTAGACAAAGAACAGGCGTGGAAGCCAATGATGTACAAATAATAATGAGAATACATTGTATAATTTGTACATCATTCTAGTTGCGAATCAACTTGCAACAACATTATTTCGAACACCACGCCAAGTAGTCATACGGTAAACATGATGCTTTGGCTGGACCAATACACATATATGTGTACAGAGCTGTCTATAGAAGAACTTGCTGCGTCTGATGGCCAGGTACACATGAGCTTCATACCAGATGTGTTACCGCAGAGGAAAGGTTTGCTGCGTCTGATGGCCAGGTATATATGAGCTTCATACCAGATGTGTCACCGCAGAGGAAAGGTTTGCTGCGTCTGATGGCCAGGTACACATGAACTTCATACCAGGGGCTCTTTTCACGAAGCAACCTTTACTAAGGTTAACCTTAACACCCATTCTTTAACATTACACTAAGGTTACCATAGTGACTTACGATCACCTTAGTGCTTTGTGAAAGGAGCCCCAGATGTGTTACCGCAGAGGAAAGGTTTGCTGCGTCTGATGGCCAGGTATATATGAGCTTCATACCACATGTGTCACCGCAGAGGAAAGGTTTGCTGCGTCTGATGGCCAGGTACACATGAGCTACATACCACAGGTGTCACTGCAGAGGAATGGTTTGCTGCGTCTGATGGCCAGAGGTACACATAAGCTTCATACCACATGTGTCACCGCAGAAGAATGGTTTGCTGCGTCTTATGGCCAGGTATATATGAGCTTCATAGCAGATGTGTTACCGCAGAGGAAAGGTTTGCTGCGTCTGATGGCCAGGTATATATGAGCTTCATACCAGATGTGTCACCGGAGAGGAAAGGTTTGCTGCGTCTGATGGCCAGGTATATGAGCTTCATACCAGATGTGTTATTACAGAGGGAAGGTTTGCTGCGTCTGATGGCCAGGTAGGTTTGCTGCGTCTGATGGCCAGGCACATATACAGCCAAAAGCTTCATAGGTTTGCCAGATGTGTCATACCACGCAGAGGAAAGGTTTGCTGCGTCTGATGGCCAGGTATACATGAGCTTCATACCAGATGTGTCACCACAGAGGGAAGGTTTGCTGCGTCTGATGGCCAGGTATATATGAGCTTCATACCACATGTGTCAGCGGAGAGGGAAGGTTTGCTGCGTCTGATGGCCAGGTACACATGAGCTTCATACCAGATGTGTCACCGGAGAGGGAAGGTTTGCTGCGTCTGATGGCCAGGTATACATAAGCTTCATACCAGATGTGTTACCGCAGAGGAAAGGTTTGCTGCGTCTGATGGCCAGGTATATATGAGCTTCATACCAGATGTGTCACCGCAGAGGGAAGGTTTGCTGCGTCTGATGGCCAGGTATACATGAGCTTCATACCACATGTGTCACCGCAGAGGGAAGGTTTGCTGCGTCTGATGGCCAGGTATATATGAGCTTCATCATACCACGGAGAGGAAGGATGCTGTCTGATGGCCAGGTATATATGAGCTTCATACCAGATGTGTTGGCACCACAGAGGAAAGGTTTGATGCGTCTGATGGCCAGGTAATATGAGCTTCATACCAGATGTGTTACCGCAGAGGAAGGTTTGCTGCGTCTGATGGCCAGGTACACATGAAGCTTCATACCAGATGTGTTACCGCAGAGGGAAGGTTTGCTGCGTCTGATGGCCAGGTATATATGAGCTTCATACCAGATGTGTCACCACAGAGGGAAGGTTTGCTGCGTCTGATGGCCAGGTACACATGAGCTTCATACCAGATGTGTCACCGCAGAGGGAAGGTTTGCTGCGTCTGATGGCCAGGTACACATGAGCTTCATACCAGATGTGTCACCGCAGAGGGAAGGTTTGCTGCGTCTGATAGGTACACATGAGCATACCAGATGTTACCGCAGAGGAAAGGTTTGCTGCGTCTGATGGCCAGGTACACATGAGCTTCATACCACATGTGTCACCGCAGAGGGAAGGTTTGCTGCGTCTGATGGCCAGGTACACATGAGCTTCATACCAGATGTGTTACCGCAGAGGAAGGTTTGCTGCGTCTGATGGCCAGGTACACATGAGCTTCATACCAGATGTGTCACCGCAGAGGGAAGGTTTGCTGCGTCTGATGGCCAGGTATACATGAGCTTCATACCAGATGTGTTACCGCAGAGGAAAGGTTTGCTGCGTCTGGTAATCAGATTAACAACTTATTTTGGTAACAATATTTTCCAATCCTGACATGTTTAATTCGGAAACATTCACTCAAAGCGGTTGATGCTCTGGTTTTAGAACTGAAGTTAGGTTTAGAGGTGTTAACGGATATTGGAGTATGAAGGGTAAGAATCACTCAACCTTTACTAAATGCATCAAACTATTTCTTTCATGCACGCTTCTGCAGTTTTGTGCAGTTGAATTAATTTGTTTGGTTACTTTTATTCCATCGGTGATAGTTTGACAATTTTAACGCCAATTATAAATAAAAACCAAACCATCATGAAGCAAAACCAAACTAGGACCTGTAACAAGAGTAACAAATTTGGGGTTACACTTTCCCAGTAAAGCACGAATTCTAGTACTTTGGAGGTTGTGTCCCATTCGGCATTCGAACCAAGACTTTTCAGAGTGAGGCACCAAATTGCCTGCACATATAGTCAGCGATCTAACCCACCCAGCCATCGGAGCTTCCACAAAATGGAAGTCCGATAACTCGTAGCCTTGACCACTTGCTGTGTGTACCCCTCTGACAAGTTGGCACTGCTCCGATGGTCCAAATGTATCGTATACCCATGCTTCTATTTCATAAAAGTTTGCGTAAACTCTATCCAACCAGGGACGCATCTTCACATGACAATATCACTGTCCAATGTAACATTACATCCGATAATACAACACGCTTCCATAGATATCAAATTTCACCAGATCGATATTCCTATCAATAAGGACATTTTACAGCCTGGAAAAAACATGCAAAATTATGTTCAGTTTCATCTCGAGTTCGGTATTTCTCAAAGAAATCACGAAACATCATTCGGAAACAATGTTCTTAATTTCAGGACCCTTTTCCGCATCATTTCCTTTTCTATCAGCTTGTTTTCCAACTTTACACATGATGCACCCTTATAGAAATTTCCAATCAGTACGAGCATATTTTAGACTCACTTCGATACAGGGAACATTCAAGTGCAGTGGGTTTCGATTTGAATTAAAACCCTTCAGTGACCATACTAGTTGATGTTTTGTGCATTCAAAATAGGCATGCGTGTAATTTCTTCACGTTCTTGTTAGAGTGTACATTTAAACCATTCTTAATCCTCCCATTATTTTTGGGTATCTCTTCTTTCAATGTCCCGCCATGATTCGTGTTCCCTTGTAGCGGTGGTGGGATGGTGGGAAGACATTGATTGTGAGCGGATCAATGACGTACTCATACAATGGGCCAAATTCTCTCTTACGGTTTGCAGTCTAGGCAATGTAAAGAGAAGGATTTTCTGCCCAAATACTTCACTTGATGAGCTGTGATATAGCAAACGAGGAAAAAAGCTCTCCCCGAATTATCCAAGAAATCATCTGGAGGTCGTTGTGTGGAAGACCCATGGCGGGTGATTGCTTGAGCCTAACATGGGATGACTGGGAAAAGAATATTTGCTAATAGTGCTTCCCAGCGGATAAATGATTCATTTGGTAGTTCCAACTAGGAGGGAGTGTCAAAGGTTATGTTTGACCTGTGGTCTATGTTTAGATATGGGGGATCTTAAGATGCCGTAGTTAGCTCAGCTCCAAACATATCATTATCTAAGGGTGGACAGAAACCGATAACAAACTGAATGTGAAAGGTGTATTGGTATCAGATATTCCAATAATGACGGTATCAGTGAAGATGATTCTGATAAATTATACGTTTGGCGAATTTAAAGCCGCTGTCGGTGAACTGGTGAATTCTAAATTATTTCAATTTGGTCTCTGATTGTCATGAAATGCCTTTTGATGATAATGATGTTTATGATTTAATTTAATGCTGTTTGTAATGTTGATATAATAATTATGTTCATTAATGAAATTTGATATTGATTTTATGCTCACAATAGTTGTCATCAATCAGGAGACACGACTGTCACTGTAGTAGCCGTTTACTGAAACAGTGGACATGGCCGCTGCAGAAAATACTGTTAACGGACAACATGGCTTTGTCAAGATTCTTTGGTACACAAAGAAAACAGTTATAGAGTACACAATACAGATGTTTTCTACTTACAAGCTTATATGACAAGAAAAAATGTTCACTACTTAAAACAAGAAACGTATAGGCTAACATTGAACAGTTTTACTTATCAATTACATTTGTATGTTTCATGCAAAGAGGATACTCAGCATGATGATGGTCACATGTTATCCAGACATAATTACAATACTGATTGTCTTCTGTAAGAGGGGATGTGGGGTCTACTTTCAATCAGTACCGTTTGCTATTTTGACTGCTCACTGTGGAATTCTCCTCCAATCCTTCCCGCGTTGGCCACTTGTGCATCTGAGTGCGGAGTTTGTCATCACTGACGTGCACGTCTGTCGAGATCATCCGACAGATGATCCTTCGGGTACATATCCGAGGACCTGGACGGCCATGGCGAGACATTGACGTTTGGTGTATGAAGTTAGTCAGAAGTGAAACCAACTGTTTGTGGCCTAGCGTCATCATGTTGAAACAAACTCTCTGTCGATTGATAATCGGAAGAAAATGATGTTGAAGAATTTAGTCGAAGTCAAATCGTTGTGTGCAAGACATGACTCACACCATCACGCTTCCGCTATCGAATATGTCGACTTGTCGAACGAAACTCGGTGCAAAACGTTCATTTCGACGTCAGTAGACAAGCTCTCTTCCATCTACACATCGGAGAAGAAATCATGTTTCATCACTGCTGAGAATCACTACCAGCAGACCCGCCGCCATTTTGTCAAAGTTCATGTTTGTACTGTGATCGTAGACTGCGTACGTGGGCGTCGAACCTAACCACTCAATACAGGGACAACTACCGGTCGTCTGGTACTATTTCCCAACTCTGGCCGACGGTTCCTTATTGCTTCTATTGGTCCGATATCCAACTCAATCCAAGCACATGTCCTCAAATTATCAATGTTTCTGGTGGCATCAGCGAAGTCCGCATCGAGTCAAAAGACGAGGGGTTTCATTGATAGTAACCGTGACAGATGGCAAAGTTCACACGACAAGAGGTGACATTATTTTCCTGAAATCTATATTCACAGAGTTAATCATTCTTACGAATTTCAAATATTTAAGGACACTCCGTTCGATTATTGTCTTAAAAGAAACCTATTTTTCGGCCCCAAAAGAAGTCTACTGTATTTCCTACATTACCGTCTGCGAATCTCTGCCCATAAATAGCTCGTGAAAATAGTAACAAATGATACAACGTACACCATGGAGCTAAAGAGTTCGCGGGCGGTGGGGTAGCCTAGTGGTTAAAACGTTGGCTCGTCAAGCCGAAGACCCGGGTTCGAATCCCCACATGGGTACAATGCGTGAAGCCCATTTCTGGTGTCCCCCGCCGTGATGTTGCTGGAATATTGCTAAAAGCGGCGTAAAACCAAACTCAGTCAGTAAAGAGTTCGCTTCCTTACTTTCGCTGTTCGTTACACGTGATAGTCATTTCCGCCAGTTTGGATTTTATTCTCCATGTACGCCTGTGAAAAATTGATTTATTACCGCAAACGAGTCGCGTTCCAAAGATTTAATTTATTTGACTCCCAATTTCGTTCATGGTGATAAAAATATTGCATGTACATTATGTACGCCTGTGTACATCTGCGTTCAGGCAGTGTAGCTTTTCAATTATGGTAATTAGTTATATGCGTTTGAAGACGAAATCTGTCGTCCTAATTTCTGACATTACACCTCATAAACTAAACTAGCAGATGTCTACGTGTAATAGACACTTCTGTTTCAGTCAGTGTAGCTTTTTAATAATATTGCGTTTAAAAACGAAATCTGTCATCCTAATGTTGAGACTGAATCTCATAGCCCCTTTAACCAGCAATGCAGCGCCATGCAGGTGGTTGATGGCGTCCCACAAAACAACGAAAAGACAAGTTTTATTGATTATAGCAAGACATCGTTACTGCCAAAACACTCAGAAATGATCTGCGGAACGTCAGTGGTGTTTCCACTCAGTGTGTAATGGACTCCGTGAGGCTTGTCTCCAGTCACTACGGGAACCTATATTTGTAGCCTGCTGACCCGTCATCAGAGACAGGCGCGTTTCACTTATGAATTGAGATAATGGTGCCCGAGTTTGGTGCAGGCAAGGAGAAAGATCCAGAAATCCAAGCACCGAACAGGACCGCTATGGAGGGGGCATGATTTGGGAACTGGATGAAGATCCCCATGTCCTTCTGCGGGGCACGATTACAGGTGTGTGCGCTACAGGGCCCCGTTTCACAAAGCTATCGTGGCGCTACGACTATCGTACTCCTATACTGTAACATAAACTTACGACAGTCGTAGCGCTACGAGAGCTTTGTGAAACGTGGCCCAGGGGTGACACACGTGTTGAATGAACTGAAGATCGCCCTCGAACCACGCCCTGTTCGGCTGGTAAATCATAACTAATATCCCCCCAGGAACCAGCCAGAGAGAATGGAAGGATGTTGCCAGAATGAGATCCAATCACGTAGATCAGACACGGGTTGTTGACTGTTGCTTGTTTCAGGAACAATACAGTACAGCGCTTCAACAGCTGACGCCAGCATCCCATCTCAGAACGCAATTCATTCCAACGGAGCATTTGGTTATATTTATTCAGCTCATAAATAGAAAAAGTGTACAACATATGTATTCATAAGTATACGTGTTCATTTATGGACAACATTCTACATATATTATACTGACATCTAGTTGAAGGTTTTGCTCGGATTTGAGACAATTATTCAAGACGTAAAATCTCTTCTTTGAGTGGCATATTAGAAGTTTGGACGTTCAATATTGAACGCAGGATTGACTGCTTGATAACGATACAAGAATCTGTATCGAAACGTCGCACTCAACATGTTAAACATTCTGAAGTAACTGTTGTTATCCGAGAGACGGTGGGGTAGCCTAGTGGTCAAAGCGTTGGCTCGTCACGCCGAAGACCCGGGTTCGAATCCCCACATGGGTACAATGTGTGAAGCCCATTTCTGGTGTCCCCCGCCGTGATGTTGCTGGAATATTGTTAACAGCGGCGTAAAACCAAACTCAGTCAGTCAGTTGTTATCCGCAAAGTTTGTTCAATATAGTACTAAAATCTCGTCTGCAGAAAAACAGAATCTTTAAACCAGCGCGCCAGTCAACGTTTGATTGCTAGGTTTTAAACCCGAGGACACTTCTTTTCAGGACTTTTGGGAACATAGATCTATAGCTCTGAACATGACACGACTGACTTGTTCGACCCAGCATTGATCTCAGACCATGTTACATACAATATACATGGCCGACACACACATTTCCATAATGGACCAGACTTAACTGATCGATATAAACATAATTACTTGGTCCCCTCCTTCAGAAGATGGTAGATATGCCAGATTCCACAGATTGTGCAGATGATTTGACTCAAATGTAATTAAGGTGACGTAGCACACTGACATAGTGCGACTCTCAGCCGGAGTTGGGAGAGGTCTCTGAACGTTTACTGCCACCGTTGACACTGGTCACTACGTGATATTGGCGGTGGGGTTTAAGATCGGCTTAACGATTATTGGTCTGGAACGTGCATTAACGTGTGTGTTGGGCTGCTGGTACAAGTCAGGACTTTGTGGGTTATCCCCATAGCGACAAGCGTCAGGCTGGGTACCAATAAGTATATTATGACGTCAGTGTCTGATCGAACCACCTACCTTACAATCTCCCGGCAGACACTCTATCCACTAGCTTATGGAGTCGGTTATACACTCCAGTTTAAAGAGTGAGTGAGTCAATATTTAACCAGGCAACTGCACCTGTTCAACCTTACAGCGATAACAACTTAAACAGTCATCAGAAACATATAGACTCAGACTAGTTTATTCAATACTATAGGCCTTATGACCTAAGGTACAATGACAGCAGAATATTATATTTTGTCACGTGGATGTGACATAATAAACAAAACTTATAATTAAGAACGGCGTGCGTTAAATACATGCTTCAAATATAATGATAGTAATTTGATTGTTTGTGGATTTTGTGAAGAAATAAGTTTGATGAGGTTACATTTGTTTGGCACAACAGAAGTTAGCCAAGGTAAATATTTCATTCGAAGTGCAGAATATTTTGGACAGGAAAATAGCATGTGAACTTCATGCCTATATGTGAACATATAGGCATCCTATTAAGCCAGCTGACTGGCACAAACCATCTTAACCAAAATACGACCATAAACTATAAAACTGTATCACTGGACCGTCTTGGGTTGGTTGACTAAAGAGGCATCGGGGTCCTACTCGATGAGCGTCCGAATTTAATAGCACCCGCCCCAACACGAGGCTGAGGTGCTCTTTACAGCCCGGGATAGCCACATTTAAGAAAAACAGAGCTGAAAATGGCTCGACCGACAATGGGCATGGTTGAGTGATGGTATGAATGTGGCTCTACCGGCAATGTGCTATTAGCTAATCCATGTTACCGTAAATAATGGATATCAAAGTCCAGGGCCTCCTTTCACAAAGCGCTAAGGTGATCGTAAGTCACTAAGGTAACCTTAGTACAATGTTAAAGAATGGGAGGTTTACATTAGTAAAGGCTGCTTCGTGAAATGAGCCGCAGGTCCCGATTTCTCGAAACAAACTTAAGTTTTTACTCAAATTTCAAACTGAGTTTGACAATTTGAAACAGCTGAGTTTCTAACTCAGTTGCATTTCTAAGAACCAAAACAACTCAGGTAGCCTATCTACCAAAGTCAGATTGTCTGCTTAATTTAGGTTCAATATCAATATCAGTATCTTGTAGGAAATGCATTTTCCCGCTTTTTCACAAATTTGAGAAAAAAACTCAAACTTAAGTGAAAAAATTAGACTTAAGTTTGTTTCGAGAAATCGGGGCCAGATCACGAAAACAAGCTGCCTCACGTAGGTACTCAAACACCTTTTACGAATTATTTATCTAATGATTATACAACGAATTATTAATTTCTTTGAAGGATTTTAACTTATGAGAGGGTCAAAGGAATTCAATGTTTTATCCTTTTCTCATAACTGTTTGAGATAAGAGCTGTTGTTGCCTCGGTTATTAGGTTTACATTCTTGCTAAAAACGGAAAAGGCAATTTAGAAGAATAACCATTTATAGCACAAATATACTTATATACATATGTAACTCCTAACAACTCTTTCCATTTCATTGCTGTTTTTAAGCAAAATGTATGAGTAGATTTTCCAAACTGAGTATTTTTGCCGCTGTTGCGGTAATGACACTTTGATTTAAACTGACTGACTGTTTGGTTTTACGCCGCTTTTATCAATATTCTAGCATCATCACGGCGGGGGACACCAGAAATGGGCTTCACACATTGTACCCATGTGGGGATTCGAACCCGGGTCTTCGGCGTGACGAGCCAACGCTTTAACCACAAGGCTACCCCACCGCCATTTTGATTTAAAGTTGAAACGTCACAATACGGTTTATGGAAAGTTGTCCAAACTTCTCTGCTGATGCAATATACCAATCATACAAGTAGTTTACATGAAAACATAAAGAAATGCACAAGATACAAATACAGTTTTCTTAAAACAAAACCTGAAATTGTCCTTTTCCATAGAATAACCCATTAGCATGTATCATTTTATCTCAGAACAGATTATTTACATCGAAATTAAGATAATAATCTACAATAAAAGCAGAGAATGCAAGATGCAAGAACAAAATAAACATAAAAAGATTAATGTTATCATATGTTAACTAAAAACTTCGACGAGGATATAGAAGCCGCCCATCATATGTCAACTAAACAAACAAAGGACAAGTCACTAAAACAAGTGTAATCCATTGTGATCAATGGCTGACGCTTATTTGAAAACACGGTATTGATTCCCTTACTTATTGTGGCTTTCGCGGCGATTCGCGGCACCGAGGTTTGCACTTGAGATGTGGCTTTAGCGGCAATTGGTATTTTTCAAATGTGGCTTCCCAGGCGGACAGCGGGGTGCGTGCACATGCTGTAGCCCGGTTATTAGTGAGTGAGTGGGTTGAGTTTTACGCCGCACTCAGCAATATTCCAGCTATATGTTGGGCAGAGTTATTAACACTGTGGAGGAGGGTTCATGTACTTATTGTTTACGGATATCATGACAATGCTGTTGATAGCTCTGGCTAGCTACAGTGGATGAAATAGCCACACAAGTATTCTGGATGTTGACAGATAAAACAGTTCACGGGGATGTTACGAGTTCAGCTTGGCGTTAATTCGTTATCTAAAAAAGATAGCCTGACACATACGTCAAAAAATCATGTTCTTTATAATATATTTAAATATTGGACAATATGTTTCGGAATCATAAATTTCACAAGGAAAAGTTTTGTCTCCTGAAACGGCTTCCACAGACATGCATATTATGATTGAAAACTGCCATTTTCTACCGAATCTATAAATATTCATCGTCAGATAATGTTTTCCAATAAATACACACGAGTGTAGATACAATTATGCGAGACGATACACATCGTGTTTGACAAGAGCTTTGTGAAATGCGAGAAAAAACCTTCAGACAATGTTTGGTATTCATCCCGGGTTTGTGCATAGGAATTCGAGATTTGTCCACAGATGTATCGCACGACTCCACATTCTCAGTACTATGTTGATTGCGATCCTAGATGCCTAAGGGACGTCTCACAAGTCCAATAAGGCTTTGACATGGTGGACACTCAGGCGCTGTCAGTATTGACAAACGGTTCTGGCAGTCATGACTGTACAGTATGGCGAATATTGAATATAGCATTGACAGTGTTGACTCGACGGCATAAAAGTGCTGACGGGTAATTGCAGTGTGATTGTGGCACCATGCTTGTGAAGCAGACTGTCAGTATCGAGGGAATGTGTTAGAACCTACGTTCTACAGACAACCTACACTTTGTTAATCCGATAAGCCACGACTTCAGTGAGCGATCTTTCTGCAGTCAACCTTGACTTCCACACACGTTGGCGCCAAGTGGAGTTAACCCTTGACGTAAGTTGTCACATGGTAAGACTGCAAGCCATGACTTCAAGCCATTGTTGACGTGGAGTGTTGATCATGCACTACAGTACTTTCAACTACAGGTCGACCAGAATACAAAACAACAACATCCACACGAATATACATCAGGTTTTGAGTGTCGGTTGGACATGCTCACCCACTTCGAGTCCGTTCTTGCTGAATAGTTGCGTGTCCAGAAACATGAGGACATGTTTAACTCGTTTAAGGTTGAACCTGAATATATCTACCATAAATTTAAACAAATATTATCATAAATGTTTGTATTTTTTAAATGTATACATAAAACTGGAGCTGCAATTGTCAAAGCATAAACCTGTAACCTGTAAATGTGCGCTTGTTTCAACTTTGTAATTCATTTTTAATGTAGGTATTTGGCCTTTATAGGGAATATAATGTCTGTCTGTCTGTCTGTCTGCCTGAATATATCTGCCAAGATATATAACGCATAGAGCAGAACAATATATCTGTCATTATCCCCATATCATTCAGTTAGCTATAAATTATGTGTTTCGACGATAGTACAGCAGCGTGAGGTTAAAGTTAAGAAAATAAGTTAGGTTCCTTGAATAAATATGAAAAAACTTGGCACTTTCGTTCAAACATCACAACATTTTGACGTTTTGGAAAATTGCCAATGTCATTTCTTCCTTATCCCTTGTCTTTTCCTATTAAACCATTTCTCTCACAGGTTAGAACAATTTTCGAAATTGAAACAATAACCTAGCAGACATAGGTACGAAAACATATTCAATATGAAATCAACAAAGAAATGTTTAAAAAGCATAATTATAAAATTAACTAGGTCTTGATTTCAATACAGATTATTGTACAAAATGCAATGGTAGAACAAATACGTTGGCAGTACAAAACATATTGGCAGTTGCGTAAGAAATAACGGCAGTAATAATATTCACCTACCAACATTAATGACTTCTAAAATATGCCAAGGCTGGATATTAAGGTGAAAATCCGCTCTTCACACAACTTTTGGTAACAAAAAATGTTAGAAGACTGAGACATGCGTTTGTCCGTAATATAGTTTTTTAAAATTGGCAGGTTAACCTATGACACTCTCCAGACGGTCCCTGCCTGGTGCTCGGCATTAATGGGTACAACAAGGACTGGTCGGCTCAGAGTCAGTATAATGTGTCTGAGTTGGGTATTCATGCTTCACTGCGGCATGGTATCTCAGTGGGCTAGCACTATAAAACCAGCTTAAGTCTGGGCTAGTACAAGCAGCCGCACATACACATACACACACGCATGCACGTCGTCATATAAGCGAAATATTCTCAAGCACGACGTTAAACCCAATTTCACCTCACCTCACCTCACCTCACTTCACTCTCCAGACCACTCTCAACGCCAAAAAGCACCTACTTATAGCATCTTTCACACAACTGCTTACATTAGTCAGTAATACAATCCCGACAACTTATAACTAGTGTTCGAACAATCTTATGAACTTCGACTGAATCATACCGTAAACAATATGAACAACATTATTCAATTATAAATAACATTCGTGAAAGATTAGTCTTGTGACACCCTTCAGCCATCTACCAACAGTGCTTCCCAAATAGTCAAATAAATGAAAAGAAATGTCAGAAGAAACAAGATGAGCTACTGAAAGCAGGAGCAACATCATCTTAACTGTGCAAACAGGCATGTTTACACAGAAGTACTGCACTTTCCTCCACTGTGTACTAATCAGCTATCAGGCTAATAAAATACCGCCATTCCTTATCAGAACCCATTGCAATCCGACTGGTCATATGGACGTTTCAGCCTCAACAAGATCTTGGAGAGTCTAATTATCTCAGCTCATAAATGGGGCATGGCCACTTGAACAGTAAGCAGTCCCTCTGGAGATGGAAACGATTGAAAGCATCTGAAGCCTACATGTGAAGGACAGGCGTTTCTGTGGGCAATAAGTGGGGAGATAGTCTGACAGAAGGGCTGTTGTAGGAGATGCCCCCTGGGTCCAGCGACTGGCAGAGTGATTTCTCCTCACAGGAGATCGGACATCTTTATTGACCACTAGCATGTTAAGTGCAAATTTGGTGATTTGGCAGTTTCTGACCTTTAGTATAGGCCTGGGCAGACTTATGGGTGATGTTGGAATGTGCGGTGATGTAGTGTTGCCGTCACTGCAGACACTGCTGTATGTAATTATATAGAATTATCCACGAGATATATAACAACTTGGAGGCAACATTTCAGGTCGTATACCTCCCGCATGTGTGATGGATGACCAAGAACTATGATGATTAATCGGTGAGGCGATTTGCGAATGAACACTGCGCTCAGTCTCTGACGCCGACAAGGAAACAGACACCTGTGATATTTCCCAAGCAAGTCTACAATACCTTTGGAAGTCTAAACTGTTACGTTTCTGCAAATATGATATTCCCTGTGCCCTTGTCAACATATATTGAGACCTTTAAACCAAATATATTTTTTAATATTTTCAGTTCCGAGTTTGAACGTTCGTCCAGCTGTTTTAATTCGTTTGTAAAGTGTTTGTTTGTTTGTTTGTTTGGCATTTAACGCCACACCATAAATTACCGTGGTCTGTAAATAATATAATAATAATATAATAATAATAATAATAAATAATCGAGCCTGGATGAGGCAGTATCATGCTCAATATCATGAGCATCCATCTACGCAATTTTTATACGATGACATTTCAGTGTGCAAAATAGCCACTGGCCCGCTAGCCCGTGGCTAGTAAAAGTCCAGTCGGGCCAGTAAATCTCCAGTCACTGGCCCGAATGACTAATGCATTTTCATGGGGCCATTTTGTAAATATCAACTCTCCGACTTACTTAAGTTAATTGAGCTTAAACAAAATATTTCAGACATTCAGACATGTGGTTTCTTTTATGTTTTGATGGTATTTTACGTTTTCGTAATCTTTTGCTTGGTTTCTGCATTCAAATTTCGAGCTGGTGAATTATTTTGTGGGCTAATTTTCAGGCATAGCTAGCCCGACTGACTAGCAAAATTTGGAAACTATTTCACACATTTACTGAAGTGATGACAGTGGCCATGACACTGGCGACTTCACTACAGTACACTACACTGCACAGTTCGCCTGACGATGGCGAATCCGAATTAAGTGTTTGTTCGAATTTACATATTCGGCCAGACTGGTTGTACGTCCCTTTTCAGTAACTCGCCCTGTAGTTTTATGTAATAGGCGTGATGAGCTAGTTATGTGGTGCGAGGAGACCCCTAGATGAGCATTCTGGAGAAAGACCTCTATAGTATTTGAAAACGTCTTTAAACACTTCCTGATATAGACATTTTCAAGTATTATGCCTGATATAACTATAACAATCCAGAAAATATTTATTCACACGAGACAGTGTTTAAATAAATCAGAAATTGTCATTAAGATGAGATACTACTTCCCTATCAACTTCTTCGCACACACATCTTGAAAATTCTAATGCAAAGCTCATCCTATTGACTGTTTTATTCACCACGGAAACCAACACAAACGTACGTATGTAGAAGGTTGTATTAATCCTGGTTCTTTTAACCAGCGAAATGGAGAAAAGCTATTTTTCTAATTTTATTTCAGGTTAATTCGACCGGAACTGTAGTCATCCACCTCGAGAGTCTGTATTTATGCCGACGAATGGAAATCAGTGGTACGTTTCCTTTATGAGAAGCATAACGGCCCGGCGACGAGAATCTCCTTTCGGCCTCGAGACTTCATACCTGACCTCCGCGCCCTTCTATGTCCACGTATCATCGTACCACCACAATACATCATCCTAATTTAACGCAAGATACTCCCGATAAGGACGGACAAATATTCTCAGACTGATTGCAGGATATTTGCCATACAAAAGAGCTTATTAGGAGGAAATTCCCTTTACGCTAGAATTGCTGCAGCAGTAAGCGTGCTGACATGTTTACGGAGGACCATCCATTACGGGAGTGAGGACGGCGATATCTGTAGGGCTGTAAAGGCTAACCTTACATGATACAGCGGAAGGCAAGACACCAGCAGGACCAGAAGAGGTTCCCAATGAGGACTTTATTACATGATATGTGCTAGAACGAGCATGGAGGATATTAGATTGCAATCAGTGTTGATTATCAGGGGACAGATCTGTTTTGCGTTACTGTAGTCGGATACATGTTCGTCGCCTGCAGGGTTCTCGGGATTCACACATTTAGGGACACTTTCATTGTTATAAAGGTATATATAGCGCCATGGTCAGATTTATTGTGTAAGGGTTGTTCCGGCTACGTCACAGTGGCTTGTAAAAGATCAAGAGGGCAAACGTTTCAGAGAAAGTGTAATCCCAAATATAGCATATGTTACATCTGACCATTTCTAAAAAGCAGTGTGTGTAGTCATAGCTTTCGGACGAGCCCATTTACACTGGTCAGTGGGGAACACAATGTAGGTGATCTGGACTTTCAGTTGTCAGACTTCCGCTTTTGTGTATGGGTTCGAATATGGGATGGAACCCAACCCCCATGAGAACAAGAACCTGTTCTTTACTGTAAAAGTGAGTGAGTTTAGTTTTACGCCGCACACAGCAATATTCCAGCTATGTGGCGGCGGTCTGTAAATTATCGAGTCTGGGCCAGACAATCCAGTGATCAACAGCATAAGCATCGATCTACGCAACTGGGAAACGATGATATGTGTCAACCAAGTCAGCGAGCCTGACAGCCTTATCCCGTTAGTTGCCTCTTATAACAAGCATGGGTTTCTGAAGATCAGTTCTAACCCGGATCTTCACGGGTAACTGAAAAAGTGTAAACTCAAATAGAACGTATCTGACAAGAGATACTAGTGATTATATGCATGCCAAACGACCCGCACCATCGCTGTATAATGCCACAAAAACATGACCACCATTTCACCTTGAGTGACCTGCAGAGGTAACTGGGCAGTAATTCTGCCAATCGGGGTCAAAAGGTACTTGTGTAATGATATGAAAATATTATGTTATAAATACAAGGCAAATAGATATCGATATCAAAGCACACCTGCACAAGGCACTTGGAGATTGAGGTAACAGTAACCTAACACCCAACACCCAACACCCCAAGCCTCCCAGCCTCCAAGCCCCACCCCACCCCACCTCACCCTCACCGCAACACCCCCAGCCTTCCAGCCTCACCCCAACATCCCCAGCCTCACCACCACCCAGCACCCCCTGCCTCCCAGCCTCCAAACCCCACCCCACCCCACCTCACCCTCACCCCAACACCCCCAGCCTCACCCTCACCCCAACACCCATCACCCCCTGCCTCCCAGCCTCATCCAGACTAGAAACACTCACACCCACCCCACGATGATCGATTAATAACAGAGTGTTTGTATAGAGATTACCGTTATTACTTTTCCAACCATTTAAGCATATGTACATAAAAGTGACGGAACCTTTCCTAGTATCAGAGCAACCTCCACTGTACGACCAGACTATGTAAATATCAGCCACAAATTCCTTTCCGTAATCATAGGACATAGTAAAAATAGGGATTAAATTGGACATGACTTACTGCGTCAAATCTGGAACTGCCCCCAGTGTGTCTACAATAACACATTCTGGAAGCTTAATATGGCATTGAAGGCTGCGACCATGATCAAACAGCTTTTTAGCAAGAATAGTGTAACGCTCTTTGAAACCTTCCAAGAAAGAACACGCTTAATTGCACATAAAAAGTTGTCAAAAGTGGCCACCAAAGGCTGGAGCTGTTGGAATATTGCTCGACATGAAAAGAAAGATTACTGTGGGAGAGTTGAAACTATCCCTCTTGTCAACATTTTAGGGGGAGTGGAGGGATCGCTTCTTTTGTCAAACAGATCTAAATATGAAATAGATGAGGCGATCTCACTGGTCTTCTATTTCTGGCTCAGGTGGTTAAATCAGTTGAAGGGAATGTGATCAATATTGAACAATATTAGATCATCTCCTTGCATGTAGCTTAAATTATACTTATTTACCCAATTCCCTTATTTTGATTTTATCATTTCGAGCAGAAATTCCTAATCGTATTTAAACATGAAAGACATCAGCAAGAAGGGGTGCACATCCGGCGCCTACGGGTAGGGCTGCAACTCCCTTACACAGACTACAGAGACTTAAGATGACCGTCGTGATAACTCCCCTTTTCATATACAGTCTTACGACAGCCGTAATGTGACGTCCCGTCACTTCAACACAGACTTATGATAGCATCAAACGTGGACTTACAACAACAATAGATATCAAGATATCAATGTGATGGTTCGTTTGTTGTTAAACGTCTCACTTTTCAATATTTCAGCTATATGGCGGCGGTCTGTAAATAATCCAGTCTGGACCAGACAATCCAGTAAATTAACATCATGCACATCGATCTACGCAGTTGGGATACGATGACATGTGTCAGCCAAGTCAGCGAACCCGACCACCCGAGCCCGTCAGTCACCTTTTACGACAAGCATGGGTTGTCGGAAGACCAATTCTAACATGCATCTTCACGGGTACCGCTGACAGCAGTCATGAACTGGGGTCAAATGGGTCGCGATGACACGGATCTTCCCTGGTCACTGTACCTAAGGTGATGCTGGTAACCACAACATGGCGGCAGACAAAATCGCTTGGCAATTATTCCCCTCGAATTAGCAGTCTTCCACGTGTATACAATCAACCGTATTTAGCACACTGATAAACTTTGATGGTGTGAATACATCGAATGCACTGAATTTGCTTATTAATGTCTATTTGTTGAAGAATAAGTATTCTTTAAATCACGTGAGGATGTCGGTAACTCAAAAGTCTGGATGTCGGTAACGTGCAATAAATGATGCTGGTAACACATACAGTCCTGCTTTAGTCGGTAAACAAAAATTGTCGGTAAAACGAAATACAAAGGAGATACTAATATCAGTTCTTATGTTATACACAGATGTGTACTGCTGCTTGAATTGAATTTGAACGGATTTAGATGTGTGTGCCCATTGTCCATTACGCTGAGAGCTTTTTCTCTGTCCCTCCTCAATTCGGACATATTTGACATGTTGATTTCGTTGCAATGTTGACGTTTAAAGTACATTTTACAGCGTGCATTTATCGGCTAGGGCTGAATATATAAAGCTATATAGTCTGTCAACCTAACTTTAGGAACTGCATATTTTGCACCTGCAGGTGTCTGTCACCTGTCAGACATTACATCAATTGAACCCATGCCCAGATCGAGTTGATCAAAACAATCACGAAAAACTAAAGGTATACACATGGAACTTAATTAAGCACCCCCCTAACATATTTTAAGTTACTGACTTACCTAATGATAAACCTTGAATTGTAACGATGACTATAATTTGAACTGTATTTCCTTTCAATATTGTTTAAGGGTTTTGCTAAATCAATCGTCAAAACACATCCCAATATGCAGTTGAAGCACACTACCCACGATTGTCTCAAACAGCACTATTAACATCAATGCGGCTAACTGTATAAAACGCCAAACCTTCTTAATAATGTTATCAGTATCTGTTACAATGGCACGAAGGAGACTACCAGAAGTAAGAAGATGACAAATTATTGGAATGCACGACACCGGAATGTCATGCAGGGCTATTGGGCGACAGCTTGACATTCACCACACCGTCATAAGTCGAAAACACCGTCAAACTAACAAGGTTATGGACTGACCAAGGCCAGGTCAACCCCAAAGAAGAGAGTTAAGGATAGATAGATAGTAATAACTGTATAATAACTGATGGAAAAGAAATAATACATGAACTAAAACTTTTTTATGAGACATATACGCTGAGCAAACTGACACTGACCATGAGAAACATACCAGAAACAACAGATACTCCGGAAATGAAAGAAGATTTATTCGATATACTCGAAGAGCTTATAATGAAACCGCAACAGAACTCCACACTAACAACGCGAACTGTACAAACATGTAACCCTGGTGTACTGAAATACAAATTGGAAAAAAAGTTAAGGATCCGGAGATTCACGACTAGCATGCATGATGAGGGTCAAAGCAGTCATCCGTGCACAAGGTTGATATGCACGCTATTAAACATTTTTCATGTGAAAAAGGCCCCCTACTTTAAAAAGAGTATATATTATGCAAAGACACCAAGTTATTTGGGTGTCAAGTGATTGGTATATCGATCCACACAGGGGTGCCAGCATAGACACCAAGTCTTCGATCCAGAACACCCGATTAGTTTATGCGACTTTAGTTTGCTAGGATCTTATCGTTCCTCGACCTCCCCGCTGGGCGCACCCGCCTGTAGTTTCACAAATATACATTTACTGTACGTGAGCGACTGGGATGGGTTTGTCGGGTCTTTGATCACTATTTCAGTTATATCACAGATTGCCAGCTTAATGTTGAGGAAAGCCCATAGTGACACGTCCGAGACGTTAACCACTTTGGAGAAACCCATTAGCGAGGATATGGTGGTGGCAGAACAATTACGAAAATCGGGGCAAATCGCTGCTTTTAGCACAACTGCCAACAACAACACAACGGGGGACGGAGGGCTCTAACGCTTCACACGATTAAACATCACATCCATGGAACTGTATCGCTTGTTCATTTTCCCTTGTAAGTAATACCACACGAGGAGACAAACATATGGCGCTAAAATCCATTGAACTAGGGAGAATGTTGGAAACGATGGGATCTCATTCTACTTCGCAATACCATGTGGGGAGACAAACATCGGGTTGCTGGGATCGCATTCTACTCCGCAATACCATGTGGGGAGACAAACATCGGGTTGCTTGGATCACATTCTACTCCGCAATACCATGTGGGGAGACAAACATCGGGTTGCTGGGATCACATTCTACTCCGCAATACCATATGGGGAGACGAAGATGGGTCACTGGGAACCCATTCTACTTTGCAATACCACATGGGGAGACAAACATTGGGGTTCTAGGGACCCATTCTTCTATTCGGGAATACTGTATGGGGAGACAAACATTGGAGTGCTGGGAACCCGTTCTACTCGGCAATACCACATGGGGAGACAAACATTGGGGTTCTAGGGACCCATTCTTCTATTCGGGAATACTGTATGGGGAGACAAATATTGGGTACTGGGAACCCATTCCATCCATACAGACTCGCATTAAGTATTGGGCAACTCTCACTGTACTGGAATCCACACGGTAATGGATTCGCTGTTTGGATTCCATAACATTCAACCTCGGGATTGGTTCGTTGAGGCATTAAGTTACAAAGAATGATTGTACTACGTCGAACAACCCCCATCATCCCCCAACATTGTAAGTGGTGATTCTATATTAAGAAAGAAAAAAGATAATTGAAGATTGTGATCTGAGTTTTGAATTTGTTCAGATAGCGTTCGCATCGGAGTCTTCAGATTCATTGGACCTAAC